GGGTCTGTTTCTGGAGGAGGATTCCCACCGAGGCTGCACCGGGTGCACAGTGCCGGTACAGACCCTTACCGTTACCGCATGTGGCTACACCTGTTCACCCACGTCGGCAGTGGCTGTCCCTCCTTACAAGGTCAGGTAACTTCTCCACAGGAATGCTGTCTCTCCTGCCTGCACCGTCCTCAGCCGGTGCGTGCGAGGGGATGGAGGGGACAGGGGTAAGCACCAGCTCAGCACCGTGCTGCCAGCACCTTCCAGCTGTAATTGGGACAGAAGCGGGCGGTGAGGCAGCACTGAGAGGTCTGGGTGCCGATGTGAGGGAAAGTGGAAATCTGGTTTTAGCGATCTTCATGCGGGGTCACCAGCACGAAGCAACGCCGCAGCCACGGCCAGGTCCTTAAATGCTCCTGGTGTGGGTTATTTACGTCCCGGCACTTTACTCGGAGCCTTGGTGCAGCACGCGGTGATGCTTCAGACTTCAGACAGCAACAGGGCAGACCTGCTGTTTCATGAGTCTCTTGGTGAGGCAGGAGAGGAATTTTGAATGCAGGAAATTTGGGTTTTTTCTTTTCTTTTCTTACTATCGCTAAGGGACTACCTAGCGTTCCTGTGTATCAGAATGGGGGCGTGTGAAGGTCTCTGCTTTGGTGGGCACTTGGACGGTCATCGTGGGCTGATCCTGTTTCCCAAGGGAGGCCCTACCATTCAGGGCACCCAGCCCAAGCGTTTGCCTATATAAACTATATTGTGGAGCTGCTTAGCTGAAGCCGTTCTTTTGCTTACATGTGACTTTGTTACTAATCCTTGCAAGAAGCCCCAATATATGGGTGCTGCGTTTGCTTTTTAGCATTTGAAATAATGCCTGGAGCTTTGATGTGCTGGTTAAACTTGACTGAAAGCCTTACTGGGAACAGACATCCTGCTACCTGTGCCTACGGGTATTTATTTTGTGCCTTGAAAAGAATGCACCCCTTGAGCTCTCGGTGCTCACGGGTGTCTTTAAGACTGATCTGTTTGGGTAGGTTAGGATTGCCTCCCCTTCTCTCTGCCCAACTTTTCATTTACTAGTTATTTGCTTGAAAGAATCTGTTTGTTTTTAGGGTTGCAACCTGTCGAA